TTTTGGAAGTTTCTACCAGCTTTTTTCCCCAGTGCGTTGCCTTGGGAAGCCAGTCACACCTCTGTGAGGGGGGTTACTCACCACGGCACAGGCTGGAGGTGTCTCAGGGACGATTTGCCGCTGCACTGGCTGTGGGTGTTTTAATTGCTTTGCTCCTCATTTGCAGAAATGTGGACAACTCCACAGGCAGAGGGTCAAGTCCCCTTCCTTGGAGATTTTCAAGGACCCACCTGGATGCAGTCCTGAGTAACATGCTCTAGCTCTAGGCAATCCTGCTCAGCAGGGGAGTTGGACTAGATGATCTCTATGGTCCTTCCAACTCTAAAAATTCAGTGAAATTCAGTGAAATTCAGTGAAGGGAAGAACTGGGCTGGGGAAAGGCTCCTGCAAGCTCTGTGGTGGGTATGATAGTGTCGAGCTCTGGGGCCGCTGCAGAAGCAGTGCTTACATCTGGCCACTCACCTTTGGGACATGAGAGATCTCATCTGAAATCTGGAGTATTGGCCAAAGTGTTAATGGAGACATGTTCTCCTACCTTAAAATTGCTGCCAGCAATTCCACCATCCCCATGGAATCCCTCTGCCCTGTGAAGATTCCTTGTGCTGGAGCCCTCTCTTGCTCATCACCTGCTGCTGGGCTGGGGAGGCTGGGGATATCAGGGGTCTCATTTCTACCATCAAGCACAACACATTCACCATGGAATGAGTGTGCAGGGAGATAATTACCCTCTCATCAAAGCCTTTCCTTCATGAGATTGTCAAGTTGCAGCAGTCTGTAATGAGAGCCAGAGCTGGAAAAGCATTGCTGGTGATTGGTCGGATGGAGGGTGCTCAGCGTGAGCATCCAGGAGTGGCCACCACATCCTAACAAACTGCACACAGTTTCCTAAATCCATTAAACATTGCCCTGGATGTCACTACTTCTCCCACCGTGATGGAGAAGAAGATGCTCCTCAGGTTCAGGTGGAGCTGCAGGGTTCTCCCACATCCCAGCAGTGCAACTCAGAGACCTTCTGGTGTTAGATGAGAGAAAGGGAGGTGGCCCAGTGTTTGGGATGCCTCATGACAGTCACTCAAAAGGCTTTCCCGAGACAAAGACAAGCTTAGAAAATACCAAGAAAGGGGCCGGGCACAATCTTGGATGGGTAACAACTGCCGTGCTCAGCAAGATTAAATCTGCAAGGACACATAACTGTGGGAAAGATACAAATGAGGGCTGTACAATAGAGGAGCCCAAAGTCATGCACGTTATTGGGAAGGTAACCAGGGAGTGAGTCATTCTGCCTCACGTGGGACTTGTGTTTTCTCCTGACCCAGGCCCCCGGCTCCTGCAGTGGAAATGCCCTGGGGGGTGGGTACCGTAGGGGCTCTGGGCTGCGGGTGCCATGCATATGCTGAAACTCTTCTGCATGGGCCTTGCTTTTTTGGGACAGGGCTTTCTGGTATGGGCTGCCGTGTGTCCTCCAGCAGCATGTCATGTGGGACTGTGGCACTCCCAAGGCCACTCTGGGGGGTCAGGATGCCATGGAAGAGCTTCTACTTGGGATGGTCTCACCTGGCATGAGGGAAAATGAGGCAGAGGAACTCTGTTGAGCAAGTACGTCCCAACAGGAGATGCTGGTACCGTGGGGTCGCTGGTGCTGTTGTGGTGTGTGGCTGGGGCTTGGTGCTTCCTGGGGGTGCCTTGCACAGAGCAGTGTGGGCTCTGTCCCGGGAAACTGGGAACTGCTCTTGGCTGGGAAGTGACCTGGGGAAGTCAGGTATTTCTGGGCATGCCTGAGGTCTTTGGGAAAGGTAACTCTCGGGTCTGAAAATGGAGAGCAGGGTCTGCTCTGAAAGCATCAAGTAGTGATAAAGGGCTTAAAAGTTGCACCATGGGATGGGAGAGGGGGCTATACTGAGAACTGCTTTGCTGGTGGGAGAAAGCTTTTCTGGTGGACTCCCATGTATTATTTGAGTTTCCATGAGCTGTAGGTTTCCAAGGACTTAGTGCTTTCTCTGTTTGGGAGAAGGAGTGCTCCGTGGGCACTCTGTACCCTGCAACACCTGTGTTCTTTCCACTGAATCCTGCTGTTCCAATGCATTGGAGCTAAATCAGTGCATCCATTACTGTCTACCTACCCCCACCCACAGAAACCTCTGGCCTCTGACCCAACCTCTAGAGAGGGTGCATGTCTCATTGCATTTGAACCATTCAAGGAGCACCTCTGTTGCTTTTTTCTTGCAAACTGCACTGAGGTCTTTGTGTGTCTACAGACTGCCCTCTCCAAAAATGGGCTTTTCTTGTCGCTTCATGCAAAGGCTACAAGTCCCAAAATAAAAAGATGTGATGTTTCTTGGTGTTCATGTTACACACTGCAAATGAATAGAGAGAACTCTAAGCATGTAGTCGTGTATCGGCTCCATTGCTGAGTAACTATTAATTTCTAAATTGGAGAATTGTTCTGAGAGCTACAGTGACATGTCCTGCCCTTCTTCAGTGTCCAGAGAGCCTGCTCAAGAATATAGAGGTAAGACTCATCTGCATTAATTTTAGACACGGCATCTGTGCTAGACTCAGAAGACAACTTGCTCTTCTAGCCTATGATTTATATGACCTTTCTTAGGTGTGCCTTCAGATGTGATTTGTTCTTGAGGAAGGGGCAGAATGGACATCACTGTATCAATACTGAACATATCATATCGATATCAATACACATTATCAATAATTAAGGCTCCCGAGGACTTCTGGATACACTGCCCCTTAACAGACTTTTAAAAAGAAAATTACTTGGGAACTACATTCAGAACTACTTGCAAATATTCCTGCTGCATTGTGGACTAAAAACAGCTTTAAGTAAGGAATGATCACAGTTGCCAATGCAATTTAGGTTTTGAAGCGCTGAGGTACACGGTCCACCCAAAACTGGTTAAGAAGTTTGGGTGCTTTGCCTTTGTGCTTAATCCTTTAATGCTTGCCCACCCTTCCAGAATCTAAGCAGAGCAGCAGAGGGTGCTCCTGGAAAGGAGCTCTGAGCAACGTGGCACGGGATGACGCCAGTCCCTTTTCCCATGCAGGGATTCCCAGGATGTGCCAAGCCCGTCTGATAGGCTGTGAATCCTCTTTTCATAAGATACTTGTCAGTGGTAAGGATTATTCCTCAGCCTTGCCTTGAGTAAATGAACTAAACACACCTTGTAGCTGAGATCACATTCCCCTTTGCCAGGTTTCTTCTTTGAAGAGCCATCTTCTGAAGGAGATCAAGAGGATGCTGCTTCCTTATTTCTTTTGTAAGGCTGCCGACTGTTTATGCACTACGGTGGTGTCACCCAGTACTAGAAGTACAAAGTCTTTTCTGCATCCTGCACTTCAGCTACCCCCATGTTGACTGGGCTTGAGTACTGTGATGCAGAGCCCAGACTCCTAGATACTCTTGACAGTGTTTTGATGGACCAGGCTGGGAAGTCCCCAAAGCAGATGCAGCCTTAAATTTGGTCCTGGTTAGCATGAAAGGTCTGGCCTCAAAACTTACATTTATAGAGCTGCTTTGTAACATCAACATCTGGATCAACAAAAGCTTAAATATGCACCATCATGTACTCATCTATCAAAAGAGGAACTTAAAAGGACGATTCTCGTCAGTAGGAAGCAAAAAGGGAGTATTAAACTTCACAGGCCATGTGGACTGTGCTTATCCTATTGAAGCACAATCTCAGTGCATCCCACCAGTTAAGAAATCATTGAGGAAGGGCAGAAAGGAAGGGCTTGGTTAAGTAGCAGGAGAAGGAAGGTATCAGAAGGTGTCTTTCAAAGAGCTGAAGACAGAAATAGGGAAGGCTTGATAACCTCTGCCAGATTCAGCATAAACCATGCTAACTATGCCAAAAAGGAGTTGAAGGAACTGAATTTAGAAGAATAAGCCAGAAATAGTAAGAGCGTTTTCAGACCTTCTGTGGAGACTGGAGGGCCAATAAATATCTGGGGTGAAAGGAGTCCTCAGAAAGGAAAAGAGCAGAGAAGATCATGTATTTATGTTTTTTAATTTGTGATGCCTGTGAGAAATGGGGAAGATTTCTACAATGTCCTGTACCTGATCCAGGGAAACCCACACCACTGCATACCTGAGGAGTGAAGGTCATGTCTGTGTGTAAAATTTTGGGGAACTATAGACCAATAAGGAAAGGGTGATGAACAGCAGACAAACATCAGCATGGAAAAATGTGAAGTGATACACTTGCGATGAAATAATCTTTTCTACACATGTAAATAATGATGGGCTTGGAGATGACCATGAGCACTTGGAGAGAACTCTATGATGGACAGCCCACCCCAGTGACAGCTCAATGCTCGACAGAGCTGCAGGAACCGAGGTGTACGTTAGGAATCATTGGGGAAGGTGAAGAGAACAAGGGGGCTGTGATGTCCCTACATAAAACCTTGCCTTGCTCACCCTTTGCATATGCTGTGCCATTCTGGTCTCCTCGCCTCAGAAAGGAAGTAGTTTAATTGGGAAATGTTCAAGGAAGGTCACTGCACGTGATGAGCTGATGGCTCCATCTGAGGAACTGGTCTGTGAGCTAGGACTTTCCAGCCTGGACCAAAGAGAAACTGTGGGAGAATTGACTCATCACACTTTTTAAATACAAGACCTAGGGAGCTTCAAACACAGCTCATAAGAGTAAGGTTCAGAAGAAACTAAGGTATGTTTTTTTCCCCACAACAAGATGTGGATCCATACAGCAGGGACACAAATGATGCTATTGATAATTAAATTTTTCATGGATTGAAGTGGTGACTGTAAAAGGTCATGGGAGAGAAACTCACTGAGGCTTTCCAAGGTTGTAATGGTGGAGGAAACGTGATTTACAGCTTCATTCCTCATATTGGCATAAGGCAGAGCAGTCCAGACTGGTCACTGCTGCAGGGTGACCGGATTTTACAAACATTTCAAAGAGGTGCTTTATTCTTTCCTAACGCTGTGGCAAGACACACAAAATAAAACCATCCAAAACAGGAAGCTTGAAGAAATTCCAGCAATTTTTATTGATTTCAGCTTTTCCAATGAAGCAAATACATACAGTACAGCCAAAACAAAACTCTGATACATTATTCTCACATACCTATATCTTACAGAATACACTGTATAGCTATGGACTGGCAGCCTAACTTGGTCTCAAACTGGTGTGTGTGGTCAGAGAGAAATAAAACTGCCAACTGCCTTCTACTTGTCCATGAGGCTTCTGAAATGCTGGGGTGGGTTGGATTGTACATACACAAAACAAACAAAGCATTTATGAGAAAATAGACCAAAAAGCTCTTCTAAGCCCAGGACAGACAAGTATGGTATTTATTTACATGGTTGTGTGTCCTGTGCACAAATCAGGCCCCAACTGCTCTCACTTCTGCTGCCAGCAGAGCTAACGATGCTGCTGCCTGTGGTCCTCCCCGCCTCAGTAATTCTCCATCACTACAACCCCAGGCACGTGCTACTTGCTGCAGACCTACCCTTGTCCCTGTCAAGGGAGTATGCCCTACCTTGGCTCTTAAACATGCAAGAAACAGGAAAACAGCTCATTGAAGAGGATGTCACAGTTAAAAACACACTTTTAAGAAACTATGTCTCCCTAGAATGAAAAAAAATTGTATTGGAAGTGCAAACAGCATCCATTTACAATGAGGGGAACCTCACTGAGCTCCCAAAATTGCTGAATGTGAGTAACACCAGTTACTCTGATTAGGCTGATTTTCCTTTCTCTTCTCACAATCAGGCATCCGTGTCACTTCACGGGATCGGGTAGTCTGCAGTCCAGATTTTAAAAAGAGAGACTGAGAGGAAAATAGAGTTGAGTATCAGAGAATTTACTGGGGAAGAACTGGCTGCAGAATAGCCCTGGGATGGCAGAGAAGTTACAGCTCACACAGCCCACTGGTCTCTCAAGTTAGCTGTATTTTGAGGTATGAAAGCAGTAACATACAGCATCATAAAAAAAAAATTAGATTGGAAGGAACCTCTCTGGTCTGCCCAGCTCAAAGCAGGGACAACACCAAAGCCAGATGAGATTGCTCAGGGCTGTGCCCAGTCATGTTTTGAAGATCTCTGAGGATGGAGATAGATTTTATTTTCATCATTTTATTAGCTTTGGAAAAAACAACTTTGCAGCACTCTATAAAATTTATGTGAATGAATGTATCTGTCTCTTTGAGTCTAATACTTACTAATGAAATCTCCAGTACTTGTAAATCTAATTGTGAGATGATGATCATCAAGCTGCAGTTCTTTGTGCCTTGGATAGTGATTCAGTAAATTGCATTACCGGTGAAAGCAGCAGCAGTGTTTTAAAATAAAGCTTAAATAACAGCCAATTAGAATGAATTTCCTCAATATTCCATCATTACATTTTGTAGTTAGGTTTCTCCAATTAATTTTACACAGAAAAACATTAGCTCCCAGGACTTCTGTCAAACATGTAATTACAGGAACAAATCTGAATGCAAAATTGCACTCAACATACTTTTACACCAAAACTGTAACAATCCTCCCTGTGGATACTGCGGCCGTTTTGGATATCCATCATCTCGGGTCCTGCCGAAAACATTTTGAACCGTGCACCTGAGAATCTGCATCCAGCCAGTGAAGAGCTGGCACGTACGGCAAGGGCATGCCCACGGGCTGGGGCTCCTTCCCTGCTCTTTAAATGCTCCTGAAACTGTCCTACCGGATTCTCCTGGTTCTAGCTCTCCACTTCAAAGGTGCTTTTTTTTTCTCTCTCATTTGGCTGGGAGCTCTGCGCAGAAAGCTCTCGACTGAACGTGGGTGAAAGCAAGCAAATAGTTGCTGCTCATTAAAGTGCACAAGATTAAGCCACCCTTTGCAGTCCAAGAGAAGAACCAACCTGAAAATGATCTCCCTCTGTGGACACATGCTCCCTCTCTGCCTAAATGGGGGATGAAGATGTGTCACTGTGTTTCTTAGACCTAGAGCTGTGTCAAAGCCAATCTGAACTTCATGGACGGCTCTTCAGTGGGCATGAGTCACCCCGTCTCTGTGAAGTGAATGGGAATCAACTCACGAGTCTGACACTCACAAAAAATGAGACTGTGTTTCCCTTTCTAGACTCAGCTCCATAATTCATCATTCCCAAATCCTTCTGCCTCCTGGATATTTGCAAAAGGGGGTCCCGTGCCCCTGCACGGTGTGAAGAAGGAGTAACCATGTGTGTGGGACAGCCAGAAAATGCATCCTCAGCTGGTCCTTTCCCTGCGGATCTGAGTTGCATCCCCTGTGGGGATGGGTAGAGGATATTTTTCTTCTGGAGAGAGGAAGATCAGCCTCTTTCATCACACGGTTACTGTTATAAGGAACAGGTGGCCCTTAAAATGAGCTCAGCAGTCCCCTCTCACAGCCTTAGCATCCCAGGGTGATCATGTAATTAAAGATACCAAGAAATAAAATATTTCCAAACCTGACTTCACACAAGTGCTTACATTCCTTTGCATATTAATACTATTTCTTTACATTGATCAATAAAAACAAAGTGTGATTAAAAAGGCCACATCCCTCACTTTTTTCAGTCCTCTGTGGCAGTCGGTGTTCCCAGGGGAAAAAACGCTTTGCCTGTCTCCAGCTCAGCTTCTCAAATGCCACATTTGTCCAGGTACAGTCATGAGATTGAGTTGTTCTGGCGTTCAAAATGGTTTGGGACCCGGTAATATTCATGGTCTGCAGATGTGTAACAATTGTCCCCTCACATATATCTTCAGAGAAGGGTTACTGAGACCCGGGAGAGAATTTGCAGACATCAATTTGCTTCTTGAGATAAAGACTTCAGTTGACAGGAAAGAAAAGACTAATAACTATAAGAGCTCATTGGAGAAATAATTATAAGCAGAAAAGAAACCTGTGTTTATAAATGTTAGAAATAACCATCCTTTGTAAAGAAGAGTATTGTTGTGTGTATGTGTTTTTAACAGCCATATGCAGTGGGGGGGATTCAATCTAAAATTAACAATTTTTAAACTTGTGGGTAAAAATACGCTGTGACAAGTTTTTAGTGCGGCAGTATTTGGTGCACGGAATTTGGTGGAATTGGGAAAAACTGCAAGAGTCGGCACAACTCACACCGACTTTCGGTGGACGACAGGGGACTAAGCCTGTGGGAAGATCCTACTCGCCATGCGTGCGCACGGATGTTTCCTGCATGCACACGTGCACAGCAACACGTACATAGTTACACAGACACACTCTTGGCAAAAAAAAAAAAAAAAATATGACATTGAGAAAGTATAACCTCAATAAAAGTCCCTTCTCCCCCCTAAAAAGAAGAAAATGCTTAAAAATATCAGTATCATCCACATGAAATCTGTATGTTTAGTTTGCTTTACAGTTGAGTTAAACTCAGAAACACTCTACATCTTTAAGATCCTAAGTAATTGTGGAAGGGTTGTCTTCCTGGACATGAACCAATTCCAAATTCTGAAATGGAGAAAAACAAAGAAAAACCAAAACCCCAAGTAATTAAAGCATTCAAGAAATCTTTTCATTACATTCAAAACCAACTTTTAATCCTTTTTCTTGGCCGGTACCCAGTTTATATACTGCCCATAGCTTTTTCCCTGAGACTTCCACACTCTTCTGAGTCTCAACGGAAACATCCCAGCAGAGCAAGAAATGAAATCCCTACCTGGGCAGACGGAAAGAAATGGACTTTTGCACCATTTTCTCTTACATCAGGACCGTGCTTAGTCTGATTGCAAAGAGCACGTTGGGGAAGAGAGCAAATAATTTGTTATGGATAGTCTCATTCCCCATCATAGAGAGATACAATATTTGAAAAGGGCAGAATGCTTTTCCTTTCAGTGGGAATTATGAATCAAAAGTACCTTTCAAATCCAAGCTAATTTCACACTGAGAAGTGGGCCTGTGAGAACCTCATGAGGTTCAGCAGGGCCAAGTGCAGGGTCCTGCACTGGGGTCGTGGCAACTCCTGGTACCAGCACAGACTGGGGATGGAGGGATGGAGAGCAGTCCTGCTGAGAAGAGCTTGGAGGTGCTGGGGGAGAAAAGCTGGCCATGGGCTGGAAATATGCACTGGCAGCCCAGAAAGCCCCCCACCCCCTGGGCTGCATCCCCAGCCCTGTGGCCAGCAGGGTGAGGGGGGGATTCTGCTCTGGGGAGACCCCCCCCACCCAGTGCTGCCTCCAGCTCTGGGGCCACCAACAGCAGAAGGACATGGAGCTGTTGGAGCGGGGCCAGAGGAGGCCCCGGAGATGCTGGGAGGGCTGGAGCCCCTCTGCTGGGAGGGGGGGCTGAGAGAGTTGGGGGGTTCAGCCTGGAGAAGAGAAGGCTCCAGAGAGACCTTAGAGCCCCTTCCAGTCCCATAGCCTGTAGTGATGGGACAAGGCATAATGGTTTTAAACTGAAAGAGATCATAGCCTGTAGCAATGGGACAAAGCGTAATGGTTTTAAACTGAAAGAGGGAAGGTTTAGCGAAGGTTTAGTCTAGGTATAACGAAGACATTTTTTACCCTGAGGGTGGTGAGATCTCTAGGTATAATGAAGACATTTTTTACACTGAGGGTGGTGAGAGCCTGGCCCAGGTTGCCCAGAGAAGCTGTGGGTGCCCCATCCCTGGAGGGGTTCAAGGCCAGGTTGGAGGGAGCTTGGAGCAACCTGATCTACTTGAAGATGTCTGGGTTCATCACAGGGGGGTTGGACTCGATGACCTTTAGAGGTCCCTCAACCTAATCTACTTGAAGATGTCTGGGCTCATTGCAGGTGGGTTGGACTCGATGACCTTTAGAGGTCCCTTCTAACCCAACCATTCTACGATTTTATGATTCTATGAATAAAAAATCATAATGATGCTCTGGAAATTCTGCCCATGATAAAAATTATAATGATGCTCTGGAAATTCTGCCCATGATTTCTCTAACCTGGTTTCTCTACTGGGATTATTCAGATGTCAGCATGCAGTTCCGAATCCTGACATGAGGTTTACAGGTAGATTATTAAATGCTCAAAAAATCCCTAAGGGTGATGGCTAATGCTGTAGTATGTGCTGGAATTAATTGTATGGTACTGACACTATCTCGATAACATTATTCAAAATTGAGGAATGAAAGTACTGTCAGAGAGTCCTGTCAAAAGCCCCACCTGAGAGAATTTGGTGAAATGAAATTAATTAGTTATTGCTTGGCAAAGTAAGTAAGAGAGACAGATGAAGCATACTCAGGTCCAGCAGCTTTGTCTGCCCTGTGGCATCTGCACTGGGCATGTCTAAAACGCAACATCTGCACTACCCCCAGGAACAGCACAGCTCCTGATTTTCACCGAAACAAATACTTTGAAGTTTGGGCTGAAGGATTCGTGATGAAAAACTCATCAACCCACAATAGTGGAGATTGAAAATAGCAAAAAACTCATGCGGTTGACACGCTACTCCTTTGCCCCCCAAACCACCCCTTCCCACGCCCGAGGGCCCTGTTCTCACCTGCAGCCTGAATGTGTGTGGAGAGGCTCCTAAAATCTGGAGGAGAGGGTCCTGAAGGTTGTTCCAGATAAAGATCCCATCATGTTCTTATCAAATCCTTGCTGAAAGACGTATATGAAAAGCAGTGAGCACGTATCGGTTTCAAAACTGACAGCTATCTTTTGCTGTGAGAGCCTCCTGCCCTACTTCCACTGTCCTCCTCTTAAAGTGTGCTTCATTTTCAAACAACCTCCTCTGTCCTCTCTCTACGTGCCTTCAACACATGAACCATCACCCGTATTGGTGGACTTCATCTCCCTTGCATTGCTTTCTGTCCACCAAGAGCTGGACTTCTCCAGCTTTGCCGGAGGAAACCTTTACTTAATCCTTCACTGGATATTATTTCATCTTATTCCTCATCCTGGCAAAAACAGCACAGATATATGCATGATGCATACACATGTCTTCGCAGACTCCCATCCTTCTCATTTGGTGTATACCTATGCAATGAACATCTGTGTGAGCACAGGAGTGACTCAGTCACATCAAAATGAGTTGGCCCAGGCCCCCGAGCGGAGCCTGGCACAAAGCTACACGAGCTCCCGTGGAGAAAGTCCCTAACCGTTAATACTAGAGCGATGTTTAGGTACTCTCTCCCTTCCTGCCCCCGGGGTACTCCCCTTTGTGGATGTTACTCCTTCTCTTTAATTTGGCCCTTTCTGCAGGTGCTGCTGCTGCGGAGTTGGAAAAACCCAGCTTGTTCAAAGCAAGGCCGGGGCAGCCAGGAGCTGGCTGGGAGCCCCGTCTGGCTCTGCACCTTCACAGTTTCTGTTGCAGGGAGCAAAACAAACCCTAAATACTCCTCTTCTTGGTTTATAAGATTATCCTGACTGTAGGGGCGAGGTAACCACAGGGTAGGGTTATGGACACAGAAGAAAATGGGGGGAAAGAGAGGACGAACCTGTTGGGGCAGGCTGATCCTACCTGATGGACTGCAGTGAAGGGACTCTCACAAGCTAACATGAAATGTCCCGTTCTGTTCCCAGCACAGGACAGTGCCATGCAAACAGGGCACCATCGACCCCAGCAGCATCACGGAGGAGCCCACCCGAGCTAGCATCATCCCCAGGGTGAAAGCTGCCCGACACAGACACACTGACACCCGCAGAGTCCCTAAAGTCAGTCCTGGCAGCTTCATTTGTGACTCGCTGCCTCTTGCTGGGATCTTTGGTAGGTGCCTGTGTGCTGAGACCATCCTGGTCCTCCCAGCACCTGAGCTCCTCCCAGCCACTGCCCCACCTGCTGCTGAATTGCCTTTGTGAATTGCATTGAGTCAAGACCAGGGTTGTTCTTGTCAGCCAAAAAGCAGAAGTATTTTCCTTACCTGCTTGAGCACACTCTGGAGCTCCCTGTTGGACCAAAGATCTGTCAGGAGGAGGCGAGCAGCTTCGGCCGCTTTTGGACAGGAGCTGGGAAGATGAAAGCAACCCCAGTGAATTGAGGCAGCCACAGAGCAGCGACCCACACGCATTACCCACAGCCTTTAAATGAGCCCATCTCCAGCAGGGAGGCTGGCTAGGCTTGGCCAAGGACTGTCAATAAAACCTGCCTTGCTCTCTCAGCAATGTTTCGCGACAACAACCTCTGGGACCGGCACAGGAAAAATGAGGGGAGGATTTGAGTGGAAAAAAAAGGCATTGAGCTGAGCTGAAGGAGTGTTTCTGGAGTGTGAAATCTGGGAAAGAGAAGGGAAAAGGTGCCAACCCTTCCCTGGAGTCTGCAGGAACAGTGTGGGCGAATCACTCGGGAGGGCAGCAGAGGAACGGGCTCTGCGCTGCCTGGTGAGGACAGAGGAGATGGGAGCATTTGTAATAACAACATCTGCAGCCATAAGTCCTTACTCAGCACAAGTTAATAGATACTTGCTCACGTAACAGCTCCGAAACCGTGAGTCATAAGCAGTACCTTTTATAATTTTGGAACATTTCATATGACAACCTAGATATAAGCCTCCTTGCTGGTTCTTATCGCTGCTCCTGATCTGCTGGACCTCGTCCTGCCTGTGGGAGACTCCTGGTCTGGGTTCAGTGCCACAGCCCCAGCCTGTCTCAGCCAGGGCGATGGAGAGGTACCAGACCAGACTCAGGACCCTCCCTGTATGACACAGTGTCACAAAACATCGTAGCCTCAAAGTAGTCCTCATCAGAGAAATGAGGCTGAGAGTGGACTTGAGGGACAAGCACCACACTCTGAGTGTGAAAGGACAAGTATGTAACCACATTCAGTAAATTTTTGGGGCATTTCTCTAACACGCATGGCAGTTTTTACTAAAGAAATTAGCAAGGGATATTTCTCTAACATGCATGGCAGTTTTTACTAAAGAAATTAGCAATTTAACCTGGTCATAAACTACAAATGGGTTGTGCAGATTGCTCATGTTGGTATTGCATGGAGGAGCTGCAGACCATCAGAAACTCTTGAGCAATGTTTAGGGGACAAGAGAACTAAGTTTTATTGCAAAATCACTTCTTTGGTTATAACCTTTTGATGCCGTCATCAGAATGACTGTGTTTAAAAAAATAATTGTGGCTGCAAAATTGCTTGTGGCTGAGAAGCCATTAAAAAACAATCAACCCAGAGTTATCTGTGATTAGGTGATGGTCAGTGCATGTTCCTGGACATTGTTTTTCAAGGATATGTTGTTCCATGTTGTTTCTCTCTTTCTGAGCTAGAGGAATTTTCTTTTTCTTATAATTTGCTTCTAATGATGGCTAGTATGTACTCTTTGTCATTGTGACTTCAGAGCACACCTCAAAAGAACTTTTCAAACAAAAATTACCAGCATCTGGTATCTAAGCCATTTCCAAATGTAAATGAAAGAATTTGTCCACTCTTAAGTTGAAGGATTTTTACTGATTCTGTTTCATAGAACATCTACTGCTGGAATTTAGGTATAAACAGATTAAGCATGAACTGATGGAGCTGTGATGACAACGTCAGCGCCTAAAGTAGCATATCTTAAACAAAAGTGGTGGGAATAGTGTGTGACTGCAGCAGCATAGAACATGGAACAGAGTATCAAGGACAGCTGATTTGGGGAAAAAAACAAGTTACCTGCTTTCTTAAAAACAAGTTACCTGAAAATAAAAGTTTTTAAGGATATTCTGTTTTTCACAAACAGAATTATTTGTAAAAATTTGTGGAAAGACCACAGGGAAGGTGTCCACCAGTGACAGTGGCAGCAATCATCCATAAAACTACTGACTTAACAAAACACAACTGAGAACCCAATCAGATGGAGAAGGTGAAGCTGGAAGGAAGTGCGAGGACAGCACAAAAGATGAGGGTTTTGTACACGCATATCAAATAATGGCAGAAAAAAATGATTCCTGAAAGGAGAAAGATATCAAGAACCTTATGTTTGTCACAGGAGAGGCCAAGGGATTCTTGGAAGGACAGCTTCAGGATGTCATGATTTTATAAAATTGATATCAAGGTGCAATCTTTGGAAGAAATGGGAAATTGGAAATACGTGGATGAGTAGAACCTTTCCACAGAAAAGAATCAAGGAAAGATCTGAGTTTCTTCAAAGATTAATTTTGGTAGAATCTTATGGCTGAATTAAACTGCAAAATTTAATTATATCATAGGAAAGGTGGGAAAAGTGAAGGAACAAAGGGAGACTGAAACAAATCAGTGATAAAGTGATAGTGAAAAAAACTGCAAATCTGATGCTTGAAAATTAAAGTAAGAGGTTTTGGAGAAAGTCTTCTAGTTTAGCCATTAGAATTATTGAGAAAAACGATAATTTTGTCAGTGAAATAGTTTTTTGAAAATAAACAGAGGAATATTTTTAAAACAGTTGGAGAAGAAAGATGTAAATGACATCAGACATCACAGTAAGTCAGTAACTTGATATAGTAGCTTGATTTTCAGAAACACCAACAAAAAGAGAAGGTAATAGTCGATATTTTGGCAACTTGGACTAAAAATAACAAAAAGTGAACAAACACCATCATTGCTATGAAGCCCATGTCATAGATGAGCATATATGCAGGAGGAAACAATTATTTAATTGGGATGCTCCAGGAAGGAGAAGAAACCACAGCTATCAGATAAACTGCTGAACCTTTGATGCCTTTCACAGAATAGAGCTACAGGAAACATCCAGGAAAAGAAACCTTAGCTTTGAGGAGTCCTGGTTGACATCTGAGAAGGACATGAGAAAGGAAAAGACCAATCACTTACTTGTCTGTAACCTGGAACCTCTTCCTAAAATATGAATACAAAATTGTTTGAGCATATTAAACTAATGATTTACAGCTTCAAATGCAACAAGATACCAGTTCAAAAAGATGGGTAAAGAAACATTTGTTCATTGGCAGAAGAAACACATGCCAGGCTCTATACAGACATGCTAACCAAACCAGCACCAATGCTGGAGGTGAGGGAAGTGTGTCCTCAGGGAAACTGAGGCAGATTAACAGAGAAAACTCTGCAAAATACTGACAAAGTGCAACAAAGCATGGTGTTCTCTATGGTGATTTGGTCCCATTGAGACCTCCTCTGCTTTCCATTTCTGCTGGCTCTGGTGCTGGGAAGGAAGTTCACAGCATGGGACTCACCACACTCAACATCACTATGGGGAGCATGGGGTCTGCATCCAACCTGGGCAACAGCCCCTGGTAGAGGTGTTTGGTCTAGTGGATGAGGCTCATTTTGGTGTAGGACTGGACAAATCCCACCCTAAAATTTCTTGTTCACCTTCACAGGCTGTACAGGGAAGTGGGAAAGTTCACAACTTGTGAACTAGCAGATGTCCAAGTAGAGGGGAGATCTCTTTCAATTTTGCTTTATGGGAACAGTCTGAAATGATATGGCTTCAATAAGTAAGAATGGTCTTGGGTGTAATTTGTTGTCTTTTTTTTTTTTTAATAAGAATTGAACAGCATAAAAGTCTTCAGGGAGAGAAATGAATAATGAAGGAAATGGAACAATTCCAGTTTGGGACCTTGTAAGAACTGGGGAGTTTCTCAGAAGGAATACATGATAAAGACGGGAGGAACACACTGAAGACATCTCCAGAGTTTAGTAACTCTCGCAGTTTAGTGAGTCATTGCAAACCAAGCTCATCACACAAAACAGTCAAGACAATTAAGGAACGCACAACCCCAGTTAAGCAACAGTTTGCTAAAGTAGTAAATTAGCTGATGACCGGTCTGAGGCATCCAAAGCGGGACTTTAGGCAGAAGTTAATACCCTTCAAAACAATGAAGACTTAGAAGAAGGCTGGGTCACATGTTAATTGGGCTCGCAGAGTGGAAGCGCATAAAAACAGCGAACTGAGAGATGTTTGTTGGCTGAGGTCCAAACTAAACCACTTTAATGACTGAGAGTCTCTGCTGCCATGAAACAAGTGACAGACTGTGAGTGGTTTATCTAAGGATGATGGAGAAGGCATGTGAATGTCTTTTCACAACAGAAAACAATAGGTTACTTGTATGAGGTATTTTAAAACAAAGAAAGATGGTAGGAGAGGTGAAAGTCTAGGAAGGAGAATACTTGGTCAAAGACCATGTAAGTTTAACACCCGTTGGGCCAGAAATGAACATATAGTATGGCAAGAGGTGACAAGCCTTTGCACAGTCTGTGGGGAGTACGGATAACAAGCCGGACAAAATCACTACCATCAAATCTGAAACCAAGTCCTAAAAGAAAAGGTGGTAAAATATGTTGGGATTGCTCAGTTGCTGTAAAACAGATGTGAATAGACCAGAGGAAGTACTTATAAATGTATGTATATTTACACACACTTTATCAAAGCTGCATCTTTGCCACTTGAGGTGGATATTCCAACTGTAGGATGAACAAATCTGAACATTAAAGCTAAACACAATCCCATTATCTCAGAGGTGCGTGAACTTCAGACCTGACCCTCACGACTAGGTTTGAAGGACACCATGAGGGGGAAGACCAGGCCCCAGGGAGTCAGGCTGTGTATTCACATCCCCTGTTTTGAGGGATGGAATTTTTAACAGGGTTTAAGATGTCAATCCTTCAGTTAATTTTAGAATTCCCTAAAATTCAGCCAGCAAATTTCCTGAGGCCCCTTTACAAACCCCACCATGGATTGCTCATGCCTGGTGTCTACCAACATGCTTGAATTTTTTTGGCGCTCTCAATTTACAAGCACAGGGAAAGAATTATGCTTTACTATGGCTCTGAAGGGCATTGGGAAGGCTCTGGGGTTAATGTGGCTTTGCACAGAGTGCACAGGCTCAAAAAATGTCTGTGCATGACCCTCTCCATGCCTTCTGCCCCAGACTCACCCGTTTCGGCACAGGCTTACTACATTATTTAGCATGTTGCTTGTCAAGTAAGACTTTCCCAGGTGTGGGTTGGACATGATGAGGTTCCTCAGAGTGTAACAAGCTGATGTCATGATCTCGCCATAGCTGTTGGTATTTCCAGACTGGAATGACAGGAGACGTGATACATCTGGGAGCACCTGGTGAGCTAAAGAGGTGGAATGTTCCAATCAACATTTAAATAAAACCCAGCACAGGTTTATGTTAGCGCTATTCAATATAAGAATGTAGTGTTATCTCTGGAAGGGGGCAGTAATAATGTTGGACAGTAATGGCATAATTGTCATTGTTTGATTTTCAGAGACAAAATGAGTGCTGCAGGCCTCTGGAAGGGCAATGATATTAGTCATGGGTAGTCAAGTCCAACTCATATCCCAAAATACTATCATCCTCACGATGCTGCAGATTTGTCATTATTTATAAAGCACACAACATGCTTGTAGGGACTTTGAGATAGCACACATTTTGTTAATTAAGCCTGCAGATACAATCTGAAATTGTCCTTTTTGGCCAGAAGAACGGACACTGCTTTGCCCAGTTTTGGAGCTTGGTTAAACCCTATTGTGGGGTTTACAAAGCACGGTGGGCAGAGGTTAGAGGGTTAGAAACTAGACATTGTTCTGGATTCCACTGTTAGTGGGAATTACTTACCCATGGTTTTGTGGAGAACAGGATGCCGGGACATGTTGCTCAGCAGAGAAGCCCCAGACCGGACAACTTCAGAGCTGTTGGACTGGAGGAGCCGTGCTATGCGTGGCAAACCTTTTTCCTTCAAACCAATCATTTGGCTCATTGCGTTGGACATCTAGGAGACAGAAGAGAGATGTCTCATGACTTCTAATGCTGGGAGGACACAACTGGAATGATGTACAGGGCCAGACAAACATGACTACACTATAAAATAAACATCTATATAATACCTTCTTCTGCTACCGTGATCCCACTTACTTTGCCATTTATCCCTCTTCTCCACAGCCATTTGCAAAGTCAGCCTCTCATCCTCTGTGGTACAGACTTCTCTTTCTGGAGCCTGAGGGGGGACAGTTGCTCACCCAACTGATATTCCCATAAGCTGGAGAAGTTTTACCTTCCTGAACCCGTTGCCCTTGCCCTTGCACAACGCCCTCGCAGCTCCCTGACGTGCCACAAGTAATAGGCTGCTTTGGAATAGGAACAGCTAATGATACCTTTAAAAAACAAGCTGAAGACCCAAAATACTCTTCTTGGATCCTGATCTCGTGTTTCCTTATGTAAATCTGGAAGATCTCAGGATGTAGCCAGTGCAGATGAGTGTTCATGGGTGTTGAAGCACATACCCTTAATAAATTGCCCCCTTATTTGTGGAGTCTAAAGTGGATTTCTAGCTACTGCCCCACCAGAAAGGCTGCTGGAGATTGTTGCACCACCAGTGACATTTGTCCATCAACAGTGACATGGAATGGAGGGAACGTGCTGGAAGGAAACCAGCCTTCCAATGGACTGAGACAGAATTTCCCTCCCATGCTCTAGGAGGCACATGTGTCACATGACAGATCCACACCAGCAGGACTGGGATGTCTAAACCTGAGTCTGAGAAGAGACTGAGAGCTCTCTTCTATAAGATTAAGGGTTCCAGTAAGCTTTGCAAGCTTGTCCTCAGTTTTCCTTTCCTTGTGACAGCAAACCCAGAAACCCACCCCAACTCCAGCTCTGAGCTGGAATAAGACCCTTGAAAGGAGAAGACACTTTTGTACATCCAGGCAAATTCCAACCATTCCCTTCCGGAAGGCTGAAATAAGTTGCTTCAACACTGTCAGAGCTGGTTTTTGTTTGTTTGTTTTCTCCCCCCCTGCCCAAAAGACATTCTTGTGTAATGATCTTGATTGCTGAAAGACTTTTTGTTTCCACGGAGCATGGAGTTCCAGCCCCGTTTCTCTGATCAGCTCTGCCCATACTGCGACAGCCTCTCTCCACCTTGTCAGTGCTACTGTTTAGTTAAACTGCCAAAAAAAAAAAAAGGGGTTCCCAACGTATTTCACATTGACAGACTTGTAACAAAGGCTCCCAGGAGATTAGAGCTGGCAGGTTAATGCTGTCCCAGCAGCGAAGGCTCCTTTCGTGAGTCACTCCATGTTTCTGGGTGGAACACTTTGCACACGTGACACGCCTCTCCTACGTATGAAATAATTATCTTTTTATCTCCCTAGCCATCTTATTTAAATTGGAATTGATGAAGTTCGACACAAACAGACAAGTCGAGGTTTGTCCACGTGAAGGCAGCCTGCGAGGACATGCCCAGGGGAGCGATATTGGGCACAGCAGAGCTGCTGTCGTGACGTGGCCCTCGCCGTGCCCTACCTCCTGCAATACCCACGGCGTCAGGCAGCCCTGTCACCTCCACGCTGCCAGACCTGCGGGTTAGGACATCTATCAACGCTATTTTACAAGCAGCTCTGATGTGAGGACAAGCCACAATCCACCGCACAACCCACCCTGTTATTAGAGCCACCTCCCACTTAAAAAACACACACAGGCGGTGGCACGCACACATCCTTTCTCTTTGCTTTGGTGGCATCTGTCCACATGTGCACATCTGTGCACATCTCCACCGATGTCCTGGGAGGAGGGCACCAATAGACACTGGTGGTATGACCAAGCTTGAGAAGCTGCTGGAAAGTGGGATAGACCTTGGGATGCTGATGATAGACCCCATGAGACCCCATTTTTGCCATTAATCAGTACCTCAGCTGGAGCATCCACTGTGGAAAGACTTGCAATAGTGCCCTGAGGTTTAAGGAGGATGTTTTCCTTGTCAATTACTGTAAAGTGTTGACACTTTTGACCAAAGGTGTGTGGAGGAGAGGAACACTTACCAGTCCTCGGCTGGCAGTGAGGTTATTTCCCTTGTCAATTACTATAAGGTGTTGACACTTTTGACCAAAGATGTGTGGAGAGGAGCACTTACCAGTCCTCGGCTGGCAGTGAGGTTCTGCAAAGCTCCAGCACAAGCTTCCAAGGTGGCATCCTTCTTGCTGTGATCCATCAGGCACAGATAGGTGCGGATGGCATCAGAGTGGTAGAGCCAGCTGGGTCCTTTGGGTTTAAAATCCTCCTCAGGAAGGGGGACGCCGTACTCATCATTCTACAAGGAGATGAAAAACTGAAAGCTCAGATCCTGCTCTTCACTTGCAGCCCCTGCCTGGGGCTGAATACCAGATTTCCAAGCTCTCTGTGGTGCATCTTACCTCCATTTTACCGCTCCTGCTGTTGAAACAGCCTGTGAGAGTTTTGTCCATATACACACTCCGGGCCATGTGGTTGAGCTGGGTGTATTTGTTGGGAACTTCGGCATCCAGGCGGTAAGAGAGGTTGTGCAGGATGCAGATGCAATTCTCCACAGACTGAAATCACCACCAGAATAAAAAAGCAAGCATGATATTAGGCAGAAAAATATGGAGCAGCACCTGCTCTAGCTACAGAGAGGACGTACACCATACAACAACTGGCTTTTTCGTAGTTATACTATATAAACTCCTGACTCTGTTTAAGGTAACAATGGATGGGAGAGAAGAAGGAGGTGGAGTAAACTTGAATGAAGGGCCACATAGCCCAAATACTGTGTTGTGGATCTCTGAGCTGACTGACTCAGTGAACCTTGTTAGGTCCCATTGCCACAGACGTGGTGATAAACAGGAAAAGAGAGTGCAGAGGGTGGTTAGATCAAACTGACACCATGAAATGCCAGATCCTGAAAGTCTTCCTCTTGCCACAGTCAACTTTCAATGATTTTATCCATGCCACAGCTACAGATTAGGGGACACTTTTTACCAAGAACAGGCTTTTAGGCCTCCTTCACCTGGATGCCTGAGTGCCCAATGTAAAGAGCAAGGGAGGATCTTCACTAGATACCTCTAACCAACACCAAAACACACAGTTATATTTCCAAAGAGCTGTGTTCAGTATGTGTTGTTCGAAGTTGTCTTCTTGCAAAATCCCTCCCCAAAAGAGGATTTGCTCAATCCTGAGGTCATTTGAAATAATTTTGGCACTTTGCTGGGCATTGAGGACCTTTGGGTGTCTGGCTGGTATCACAGGTTTTAACATCTGAAAATGTGGCTACAAACACCAATGTGTCCAAGCTAAGGGCCATTTACACATAGCAATCAAAGTCACAGTTAAGGAAGGAATTGGCAAAGAGATGCCAGTTCCTGGCTTCTTGCTGAATGTGGTGCCAGTCTGGGGGTTATATAATTGAGTCCTTCTGGACAAAGAGATGTGGTGGTGGAAGAGCAAGAGATGGAGGTTAAGACACTGGAAGGATCCCACGGTGGGAGGGGATGGGAGGAAAGCATAGTGGGGGCTCAGGAGCCAAAATATTTTGCCCTGTGTCTGTGTTTGGCAAAGGAAAATTGTAAAACCCACCTCTACTTCAGGCCCAGAGGACTTGCAACCCTGCAACAGATCACACTGGGATTTGGAAGGATAAGAGCAGTAAGAAACAGTCCAGTTCCCTCTGTGTTTGTTTGAAAGGGATTTTGAGATATTCCCAAAATTGCAGTTATTAACTACGGGGCTGAGCTCTAGCAAACAGCTCGGGGTGAACATCTGGTACCTTATCATCAGGTCGGTTAGAAGCCACGCAGTTCTGGGAGTAAGTCATGACTGAGTCGATCAAGCCAGGGTAATTCCTCATGGTCTGGCGCCCCATGTCTGCAGAACTCAAGTTTCTGAAGAAAGACATCACAGAGCATGTCAGTAGAGTAGGAGGAGAGAGGATTAGTCGGGTTCACTTACTAGTCTCTATGGGATCTGTTCTGGCTATGGCTGAAAATGAATTTAAGGATATTTTTGTAGATTCAGCAAGGCTGGTGTACTGCTCTCATTTTGGAGCACTTCTGTAGGACAGCACTGGTGCATAGCTCTCTTGTTTCTCTTCAGGATTGAGTTAATCTAGGAAAATATCCTCTTAAGGACCTCTGCATAGAAGACATCCTCCATAGAAGACATCCTCCCAGTAAGAGCAACTATCAGCAGTATTTTGCTTTAGAAGCTATGCATATGACTTTACACAGACTCATCGACTCCTTGGAGGTGTTTCCAAAGAGAAGCCTGAACAAAGACCATCTAGGATTATTGTGAAAATCAGGAAGGCACGTATGGGTGGAAGCCTGGAGCTACAGGGGTCAACAGCAATGTTTGTGTGGGAAACAGGGGCAGAGCTGCTGCAGAGCAGCAACCGCTCTGACCAGAGGGATTGACCAGTTTGTAGTGTTGTAATGTACTCCCCGGCACTGGTTGCTGCCAGGACAGAGGAGTTTTTCCAGTAACAGGAAATTATTTTTTGTTGTTTTGTTGGGTTTTTTCTTCCCTGTTTTATTGCCTTGTAGCTTGCAAATGAAAAACAAAGAGGTTGGCAGTCGTTGTGAGATATTCACTCCAGGCGTTCCAGAACTGGATTTGATGTTCACTGTGATTTGCAGCCTCCTCATTAACATGAATTCATCTGCAATCCAGAAATGCTTGAGCAGCAATGGCTCAAGCCCAGGGCAAACCCAAGGCTGTTCTCATCTCTGCGTTATGATGTGGCAGGGCAGTGAGTCAGAGCAATCCCGGCTCACCCCTTGGAGCAGGGGCTCCAGACCCAACCTCCCTGGCTTTCCTCACTCACCTTGCTCCCCAGCTCTGCTCCCCCCAGCCTTTTGAGCTCCCTCCCTGACCTGCCTCCATCAGTCTTCACTGGGGGTGTTGGATGTTGCTGCCACAGACTGGGGTAAGTCTCAGAAGACAGAGCCTGCCTTGAGTTAAACTCCATGGAGAGCTCCACAAGCCGTCTTCGTACTGTTCCCCTCATTTTCATAGAGTATTTTGTGGCATTGGTGGCTTGAGATGGTCTTAAAAGTGGAGCACCTTGTACGTAACATACACTTCACATCCCAATGTGCAACTGCACGGGGAAGGTGCCTTCCAAGAGGGGGAAGGTGCCTTCCAAGAGAGGGAAGGGAGCAGCGCTTGCTATCTTTCAGACACAGTTCCCAGCCACAGAAGACGATAGTATCACGTCTCAAAAGGCCCCTACCGTATTCACCCGTTTCGTTTCATAAGCAGATACAGCTCCTACTGGCTGCATGTCTGGTAAGGGTGCGGTCGGTGCTGCGCTCCCTCGGGGAGAGCTTCAGTTGATGAAAGTACCTAATTATACAGGGTATTTTTTTTTTTTCCCCACTTGTTCCCAGTGAGACAAGGAACTTGCATCCAAGTGGAGGAGGGCGGTAGGAGAAACAGCAAGTCAGGGCGAAGATCCTCTACAAAAGGGCTCCGGCTTTCCCGTGAAAAAAATAAACTACTCTGGGCTCAATCTGTACCTCCCGTTTTGTAGCTGACCTGACTGGTGAAATGAGCCAGGAAAAGTCCAGGGCAGTGGGACGGTTCTGTACTAAACCAGTTATTAAATCAGTGGGAAAATGCTTGTTTACCCCACATAGAGAATTCTGACTTTTTGTTACCTGAACTCCAAACCGGTTTGTTTTCTAGCAACCAAAATTTTCTCTGGAAGCCTCAGAAATCTAATGGCAAAAAGTGTCAAGTTCCACATGTATTTTTTTCTGCACTTTCTCTTAGTTAGGAAAACTTTCTCCAGGTGAACTTTGTATTAATACAATTGCAGTGAGCATGTGTTTAGCTTATTGTAAGGGAATTTAGGCAGCTTCAGCTTTTGTCAACAGGCACAATCTACATTAAGTCCCTGCTTGATGACTCACCTCAAACAGCCTGTAGCGTTGAAGAATACTTCTGGGTCAATAATTTCTCTTGTCCTATTGCAACTGCCATCAGACCAGCCAGAGAAAGGGATGATAACACAGTCTGTCAAGACGGGGAGGGCCTCCTGTATCAACTCCTCTTTTAATTCATCAGTGGAGGAGAGGTTCCAGAGCAGTCCTAGGAAGGAGGTGGGAGACAAGCTCAAGCAGAGGGTCACCATGCATTAGAAACTTTCTTTCAGGTCAGAGCTAATTCCAGAAATGAAGTCCTATTTAATCCCTCTTTGAACTAAGGGTGCAGAGGCTGTGCTAAACCCAAGTCTTTGTCCATCCCCATGGGAGACAGGCAGGATGGGCACCAGGAGTGTGGTATCATGTGGAGGTGGGCATCTAAGCATCCTCCCTCCTTCCAGAATTGGTGTTTGTTGCCATTAGGTTACAGGGGGAAGGCATCTCTCCAGGGATCTCATAAAGACTTGCACACAAGACCTCAATCACACCTGAGGGTGAGCTGCACCAACAAACTCACAACAATCCTTCAAGAAAGGGTGGGACATCAATGAGATAACCCGCCCAACTGTATTGGGCTTGCCAGCACCCTTGGCCTTCCCTGGGAACAGCACGGGGATATACGGTGCAGGAAGGCATGCAAATGGCAGGGTGACCTGGTGGGGAGAAACCTGGGGCAGGTGCTCCCCAATAGGCACTTATGATGTGAGGAACCCTTATGGGACATTGAAGAGCCAAGGCCTCCTCTGCTTTCTGTTTCAGGTTGCCATTTGGTGAGACAGGAGTGTAAACCATCCTCGTTGTGGTATGGCAGCACCATGGTTACTCGCCCTTTGCGTGCTGGAGCAACATGGACCACAGGTGGGGAGGAGCATGGTCCTTGCTGAGGGCTGAGCAGTCTGCTGTGTACCTGTCAGTTGTTTCTGTATTTCAGTGTTCCCTGTCCTCCGTAGAAGGCTCACACACTCCCTTATCCCATTCTGCCGCCGGGTTTCTATCTTGTTGGTTGGATTCTTGAAGACCAAGTTTCGGAGGGCTCCAGCTGCTGCCCGCTGTACGTTCTGGTTTGGGCTGCGGAGCAGCTCGACGAGCTTGGCGATTCCCCCCAGCCGATAGACCTGCACCGGGAAAGACATGCTGCCATCAGCGTGGTGTGCAGAACGTCACTGGGATGGGGACAACTAGAACTGCCATGGCAATGCAAGGAGTCAACATGGTACACACTCAGGGCAGCTGGGAAAGCAGAGGTGGCAGTAATGGCTGGCCAGACCTTGCAGATGGCATATCTGGTTCAGGCCATGGGTCATGAAAATAAAGGTGCTGGCCTTGAGGCTGGAGCTTAAACTCTAGAAGTGGATGTCTGTGAGTAATGGCCATGGACTGAACCCTTTGCTAGATGTAAATGTGCTGGGTCCCACAAACTTTCACCTTCTTCCATCAGTTTGCATCGGATGAAAATGTTGCTCTGCCTTTCTGTAGAGGCCGTTTACAATAATGCAATGACATGATGTGGTAATTTATCTGCATCCTGAAATCACAGGCTGAGCTCAGAGGGATGGTCATGGTGCAGTGTAAACACCCTCAGGGTCAGCCAGAAGCAGTACTGGGCCCTACTCAACAGGGGCAGCATCACAAAAGGGTGTGAACCCAACCTGCAGGACACCACACACAGGCCAGAGAGGTCCAAAGGCAAATTCTTTCAGCTGAGCTCCTCAAAATGACGGGGATGTATTACCAGGTCTCCTGGGGACATGATCCCGCATGGAGCCCCTTCTGGCACAAACCAACCCATCGGCTGGAGATTTGCTGACAATAGAAAATGAATAAGCACCTTTTAGAAAGGAAAGAAAACAAGTGTGCACTGGGATGACTCACATACCTGCTCTGACATATCTTTCTGGGAAGCGATGGGACAGCCCAGTGCTCAGAGACTGTTTTCAACGGTAACGAAGGGTGTGGCCACCCCACAATTAGTGACTGTAATGTGGGCTGGGGTACCTGCCCTGGGTTCAGCTGCAGCAAAGGCACAGAGGAACAGCCCCACGCTGTGCCAGCATGTCCGGATGCACCATTGTGCCGGGAAACGGGAAGCCACCTCTATAGGGCTGGCATCTTGATAGACCCATGCTGGCATGACTGCAAACACACCAGGGTGGGATAAACTTCTGTGACAATCTTGCCACGGCAGATCCATCCTTGAGCTGCCTCCTTTGCTGCGTGTTGGCATAAGTTTAGTAATCGAAGAGAAAGAGCATGATAAAAATAAGCTGCTCTATGAGAGGGGCTTCTGTTTGACCAAATATCTTTGTACGTGATTACAAATTAACCCCTTGGCTTAGAAGGCTGAAAATGGCTGAAATGTCACTGAGCAATGCACAACGAAGACCACAGTGGGATTTAGGACAATTTTGTGTGGCTCTGACACTGCGGCTCTGAGATAGCAAAAGATTCCCATGGAACAGGCTGCAATCCCTTCCAGAAGAGGACACTGCATCCGATGGCAGCTCCCGTATCACCAAAACCTCTCAATTTGTGTCACAGCAACTTCTGGTGATAACGTGGACACAGTCTCCTCTGGTGCCTGGTAACTACTCCCTTGTGTTAAAATCCTGACTGACTGCTATTAAGAGAAAATGGTGGCTAACAGTTGAAAAAACTACTTAATTAATTCCTGAGTGTGGTACCTCCTAATGAGGTATAAGGCTCCATCATGAAAATCAAGGGGACCTATGGATCTTTGGTAGAGGAAAATCAGTTTCATCCATCTCACGTGCCATCACACCCCGTGTGGCAGCAGAGCTCAGAAGGAGTTTGCTCACCTCTTGCTTGGCCGACTCATCCTGGAAGCAGGTGTGCTGGAGGTAGTAAGCACCCATGGCCTGGTATTTGTCATCAGAGGAGCACAGAAGCTGTATGGCTTTCTGGATGGTCATTGTACCATCTATCTCATCACCACATATTCTGTGTTAAAGAGAAATAGAGTATTGGTTGAGTGTTTGGCCAAAAGGGCTATGCCAGTACTGGGAATTATTAGGAAGGAATCAATTACAAAATGTCAAATATTATCACATCGCCATATAAACCACATGGTGCACCCCTAGTGCATTTCTCTGTCTCAAAAAACCACAGAATATAAAAGCAGAAAAAATACAGTGGAGGACACTAACCCAATAAATTATGGAGCCAGTTTATCCAGAAGGAAAGGAGACAGAAAATAAAAGCTCGGTTGAGGTCTGAGATGTCTAATCGTGTCTAAAGTGGAAGGTTTAATGAACGGAGAACTAGTATTCACTGTTCCTTAAATAACAGAATTAGTGGACAAGAGTGAAACCGTCCGTCAGGTTATTAGGACAACCTAATTGTCCTAGGTAGGCAGATCCTTTTCCCACAGCATGTGAGCCTTTGATGTGAGATGTGGTGGAAGCAAAAATGCGAGAGCAGCTGATGGTCTCGGGAGGCTGGAGCAGATCCCTTAGGAAAAGGCGACAGGCATGTCTGGAGTGATGGGATGGACAAATACTGAGTTTATGAAATACTAATAATAGCACTGAGACATCCAGCTCCCAGGTTATGTTTACGTGGGTGGTAATCGAGCTCTTCATAAAAGTTGGCCACTCTCATCATCCCCTGTTATAGGTAAAGAATGTGCCCACAGACTCCAGAGGAAGGATATGAATACCTCCGGCTTGAAGCAGGGCTGAAGTCTTGGGAAAAATCCAAACACCCCAAGATTTGTCCACTTGTTTGGAAATATGAAGGTCCTGCTCTCTTTGGGTTGTACTAATTTAGCATCATCTGTGATCTTTTAACCACATAAGGTTAGAAAAGTGTAAAACCTTTCAGGCTGAGGAAGGAGCTCTGAACTTGTCAAGCTCAAAGCTTGTCAGTGTTTTCAGTTATATCAGTCAGTCTAATAAAAGTTACTGTCTCTTCTCAGCATCCTTGTGCCTTAGGCGTGCAGCTGGCTGCAGCAGGATCTCCACTCACATCAACAGTGTTGTCATTAATTTGCATCAGAGTAAACGACCACACAAGGTTCAGGACTGAGAAGGGTCTAACCCCAGACTCCTCTTTGCTTATTACTATTTCAGCAGTGATGGGATGCAAATGGGAAATGCTTTGTTAAGTGCATGAAATCAGAAAGTATGGGGGCTCTGCTGGGACAACCGGGTCATCATTGTGTCTGATGGATGTTATTCCCTCTTCAGGATCTAGTTGCAACTGATGGGGAATTTTACCTAGAGGTCGAGAGATCAGTTCCTCTTTGAACCACATTAATTTGTACCTGAGCTCTTGCTCCATGTCATACGAGTGAGTGACTATGTAGAAGGGCTGATCATCTTCAGACAATCCGATAGATAACCAAACAATGTTATTTACTAAGTTCTTTAAATAAACCTTTGAAGTATTAAATATTACTATGAGGGAGTGGCTTCTTCAGGCATGGAATATGCAGACTCATTTTGATTGTGCCAAATAAATGTTAATAAAGGTCTAGAAAGGACACCCAAGTGTGGTGACCACCACCAGCAGCTTACAATAAGATAAAACATTTTGTCCTTAAGCATCCAAAGGATCACGTCCGCACAGCACGGGCCAGTTCCGTTCTACCTTAAACCAGGACATAAATATCCACAATTCTATAGCAAATTTCATACAGAACATGAAAAGCCAACAATTATGTTGTGACACTGGTAGACAGCATGAAAGACTGTTTTGTCTCCTTTACCCTCACTGGTATAAAGTTGCACCCAGTTTAAATTACTCATTCAAGCGCCTGTGCAGTCAATGGAGAGAAGTAGCTGCTTCCAAAGAACAACTTGCTTTTGTGTCTTAGACATTTTTCCTAAGACAGGAGGAAGACCTGGCCTCTGGAGATACCTCTGCCTCTGTTGGTACACAGGAATGATAGACAACAGTCTTGGACTGGACCTTAACCATTCAATGTCGACTGTCTTGGACTGGACCTTAACCATTCAATGTCTAAGGTTAGATGAACATCGTTCCACTTTTATTTCTACACTAACAATAAAGCATCACGTCATCGTACTATTTTTCATCAGTTTGAACCTCTACCAAAACTTGGCTCCAAGAAACTTCCATTACACTTGCAACAACGAAACACAAAACTGGAAAGACAAAGTTTAAACTAGAAACTATGGAATATCAGAAATCTTTGGTTCGGGTCCAGAATGCTGTGATTTTCTCTTGTGCTTTTCATGCTGCCGAGACACACAATGGAGCTGAGACACTGGTGATTCCAGCGTGAGTAGCACCAGAGAGACTTGTCCTTTGAGAATGCAGACCTGGGCTGGCAGTGTGGGGAGCCAGGTGTATTAATAAAAGCACCAGGTCAGTGGCCATGCAGCATATGTAGTCATGGTGATTTTTTTTTTTTCTTTTTAATTTACCAAATTAAGTAAACCCCTAAATAAGGTGCACTTTTTAGGAGAAAGAAGGTTTTATACTTGGTCCGGCTACTCAAGGAAGGCAATTTTCTACACATCCACTCCATAAGGGATCCAAATACTCCTTCAGCAGGGGAAAACTAGGCATCTGGGTCCAGTTCTGCATGGGAAAAGATGGGGAAGATTCTGTTTCTCCTGCTGGCTCATCAACAGGAGAAGTTCACAGAGGGTGAGCAGCCAGGCTCAGTTGTGCCGCCCAAGAAGCAGCAGTGATTTCTTCTGCCTGAAAATATAATCACCCTGGCAAAGCCCATGCTAATGGAAGATTGTTCATCAGCCAGTCAGGGATATTCCTAACCAGATCTACACTACAAGAACAAGAGCCTACTCCAAGACAAATTCTTGGACTATGGCCATCTCCAACCTGGGCCAATGTGCCTGGTAGGAAGAGCTCCAAAGATTGTTCTTCTTCCACAAGAAAGAAGCAATCAGAATAGGGAGAGACCTCAATTAGAAGTGATTCAACAGGAGACAAATTAGATGATCAGATTCAGGTGTAGAAGGGAAACAAATACTTAAGAGCCTTGGTATCACAGAAAGGCAAAGTCCCTCATTTGATACTAACACCTTTTGTCACTTTGAATTAGCAGATTGGTTTGTGTTAACCAGGTCTAACTTTCTGTCCTGGTAGTGAGGGCTACAAGCCCTGGGTGAGGAGGAAGCCAGAAAACTCTAACAAATTCCATTATTCATTAACAAAATCAGAGTGAAAACACTCAAAACTGTTTGGCACATCCAAGCCTTCCAGAGTCAGGCCACACTGGAGCAAAATGGATATCCATGCTCCACAACAAACAGCCATGTCCGCCCCTGGGACATGGCACCAAGGTTTTGATGCCACTGAAAGCTCAGCTGAAACTTCCCCTCAGCCTTTGCTTAGTGGGTCGGTGCCAGGGAAGATGGGCACAGACTGACACTGAGCCAGGGAGGAGGGGATCCTTGCCATGTGGAATAATATGAACCCCACCAGGACAGCATCACCCACAGCTCCACAGAGATTGCTTTGGATGCAAGCACATAGTGCAGACAAGTTCACATCACCAGGAACAAGCACTGAGAAATGGTCATTTTTAGAGGCAGTTTATCCCAAATGAGAATAAACCAAAATCATAGAACCATAGAATGGTTTGGGTTACCAAATAAGAATAAGGGAATAAGGGACCTTGAAGACCATTGAGTTCCAAGCCCCCTGCCCAGGGCAGGGACACCTCCCACCATCCCAGGTTGCTCAAAGCCCCATCCAGCCTGGCCTTGAACACAATGAAGGTGCCTATCATGGTTCTTGGTTCTGCTTTCATTGTGTGGCATAGCCCTGGTGAATTTATGTTTTCATACTGATCACCTTTATCCCAAAAGAGAGGAGATCTGTCAGAAAACACTCTTGGTACCTTTTCTGTCTTCCAATAACTTTGGTATGTTTTCGCTGTTTATCGTATTTCCAGAGACTGAGCTCCTGACTGGGAATGAGTGGTTACAGGTGACACACTTACTGTCCCTGAACTTTAGCCAAAGCTCACGGAGGCTGCTGCAGCTTGTCGGGGGTCAAGTCAGCATCACTGTAGACAATGAAGGTGCCTATCATGGTACTTGGTTCTGCTTTCATTGTGTGGCATAGCCCTGGTGAATTTATGTTTTCATACTGATCACCTTTATCCCAAAAGAGAGGAGATCTGTCAGAAAACACTCTTGGTACCTTTTCTGTCTTCCAATAACTTTGGTATGTTTTCGCTGTTTATCGTATTTCCAGAGACTGAGCTCCTGACTGGGAATGAGTGGTTACAGGTGACACACTTACTATTTTCGCTGTTTATAGTATTTCCAGAGAGACTGAGCTCTTGGCTAGGAATGAGTGGTTACAGGTGACACACTTACTGTCCCTGAACTTTAGCCAAAGCTCACGGAGGCTGCTGCAGCTTGTCGGGGGTCAAGTCAGCATCACTGTAAACAAATATGACCATATGGAAAATCCAAAGGGTTGCCCCAGGCTTTACGGCCTCCTCCATAGCTGCCACCCAGGGTATTCAAGGCCTTTAACAGAGTAGCACCAAGATATTACGTATTTCCAGGTGCCTTGAGAGACACTTGCATTCACAGGATCTTTAATGAGGTGTTTCAGTCTCTTTCCCCCATATACAGAGAACACCAAAGGGAAACACATCCTTGTCTTAAAATGAGGCCAAAGGTGCATGTGGTGTTATGGGAGACAACTCATATTGTAGGTGTCCATTAATGGCTCCTGATCTATATCAGCAACCCTTAAGCTGGGGAATGTCTGCAGACACCCCAGCTCACCTCTCATCTTCACAAATGAGAATACCCTGAATCCTTCATGAGGGGTGAGATTAGTCTGGCCTCTCATCAATGTCTCCAGCTCAGACACCTGGGTTTCCCCTGAAGTCAACTGAGAAGCTCTGGCTTTGTCAGGGGGTAACTCACTGCCCTACCTCAGATTTCAGCTCCGTTGGCATCTCTGGAAGGGCAACAGGGGCACTCAGCTCTGATGCAGGCATCCCCCAGAGAAGTGATGGGCACATAACCATTGACCTGCACAGACTATTGCAGAGCCTCAACCACCACGTCATGATCTGGCCTGGCCCTGGGCTGTCAGTCCCATGTGCACGTGGCATCTGAAGCACGACCTGCAACAGCTCTGCAAGCAGAACTAATACAGTGCCAGCCGGTGGCAGCCACAGTTTTCCTGTGCCTCAGGTTCCAGCTGGAGGAGGACAAAGAGTCAAGTTTTCTAGGATGCATTAACCATCTCATCCTTTATCACTTCTCGTTATCGCTACCTGATGACCAAGGAGGATGTAGAAACTTTTTTCCTGACTGGGCTGAATTGCAACATGTTATTTAGCTAAAAGCTGGCTGGCTCAAGATGACACACTGCCACTTGGAGCATGTTGCAAGTACCACCCATCAGAGGAAATGGTTAAAAGCAGGCAAATATGCATCGTCTGCACCAGTTGCTAAAACCACTGTTGCTGCCAGTTTCCAAGATGAAAGGCTTCAGATCTACGGGATGTCATAAGAGCCCAAAAAGGAGAAGGGTTCTGGGGAGAAGAGGGAGCCCTGAACACCAAGGAGACTCCCTCCAGCTCTGTCAGGCAGAAGGACTCACTCCAGAGAGATGTATCTTAGCAAAATGGGAGCACTGCTCATTGAGATCTGTCGTTGGTCAGGAGCCACCAGAATAACCCATGAACTTCTGAGCCTAGACAGATACACTGAGCTTGGAAATGTTGTTCCAGATATGACATAATGCTTACTAAGGCTTAAGCCCTTGAGTGGTTATAGAGAAGACTGTCTGGAAGGGACATCAGAAGGTCTGGCTTCTCACTGAGGCAGGTTCATAGCGACAGGGGTGGTGGAAGAGAATATACTTCAGGAGGAGGTTTCTCAAAACAAGTCAGTACTGTTTAAGCACTGATCAGTACCCCTGGTCTGAAAAAACAGTACAAAAGTCAGATTTCATCACCAGACATAATACTATGGGGTGAGTAAAACCCAACATCGTGGTTTAGTTTATCATAGAATCACAGAATGTTTTTTCCCAAAAAACATTTAGGTGTTAATCTACTCATCAGCTAGCTGGAGGAAAGGTGCTTTCATCAACTAGAGTTGCTTCTGTAAGAGGAAGGACTCTTCTGAGAGATAGTTATCAAAGAGACAGCTCTTCCATGTCTTACACAGCCGAAGCCAGTTCGATAAATGGAAGCAATCACACAATCAAGAATAGTTCCAGAAATTAAATAACTTTGTGACCAAACGCAGAGGGACTGTTCAGTACAGGTAGTTTGACAGTTCTTGCCTACTCAGTATTTTGATATCTACACGTCACTCTCACTACCTGAGAACATCCAGTGACCCCTTTTTCATCTCAATCCATCCAAGGAGACCAGAGCTGTAGCACAGGACGCCCGAGAAGCAGCACTCTTCAACCAGTACTGAGACTGTCCACAGTCACAGAGCAGGTTTTTACCACAGACAGACCCAGTGCATCACGGGCCCCACTGTAATCCCTCTCACAGCCATGGAAATCACCCCACTGGGTCACTTCTGAAAGCTTGGAAACTACCTAGCCCTTCCCTTGCTCACAGAGGTGGTTTGCCAACCTGCAGACAAGATATCCACCTACACAGGAGATTAGCAGCATGAAAACTGAACACAAAATTGTCCTTGTTATACAGGCAAAAACTCTACCTGAAGAGCTACTAGAATAAGAAGGACAGATCCCCAAAGAGGGAACTACAGCAGCTATTACCCAGCTAAGCCCTCTTTCTGCACACAGAGGTTAATAATGGGATGCCTACAAGCAAACCTCTCCCTGCTCAAAGATCAGGCTGCCCAAATGCAGATTAAGCTCTTCAAGTGCAGAATCCTCCAGCCAGAAACAGTCCTACACAGCAAAGAGAGCCCAGGTATGGTCCTAACCCATCTCCGAAGGTCCTTTCCCAACAAAAGCACACTATAGACCAAGGCTAACAGTGACCTGCCACTGTATAAGGGCTAACAGCCTTCCAAATAAATGATTTAAAAAAAATAAAAATCTTTGTACAAGCTGCCCTCCCAACTAACCCAGCTCCACAGTGAGTTTCAGGCAGAGCAGGGGGGTGTGCCCCAGCCAAATCAGATTTACTCAGGGGACACAGCCCCAGCTGAGCCTAGGACGACTTGAAGCCCGACATTTCCACATCAGAACCAGTTCTGCCAGATGAGCCATGCCCCGAGCCAGAAGAAGTGTATAAATGGAGCCACTCCCTAACCAAAGGGCATCCAGTGCTGGAGAGAGTTCCTCTCACAGCAGCAGTTCTCCTTCTCTTCAGAAATTGCCATTATTCTTCAAGTGACCTTTCCAAAGCAATGGCTAAGTCTACACTCATGAACACCATGCGATGCAGAGCAGGATTGGCTTTGAGAGAGCCTGTCTGCCTGGGACTAACTTCTCCAAAGCAGTATTTTCCCTTGGCAGAAGACAGATGCAATTCTGTGTTTAAGCATTCTGCCATCCCTCCCACTACACTTTTATGCTCTTTAGTCAGAAATTCCCTAGAACAAGTTACTTCCAGTTTATGTGACGTCTCTCTTTCCTGTTCCAGAGGATTTACAAAGCTTCTGAAAGTAAGCCAATGACAGTGCCACCGGTGCTCTGAGTTGGCCAGGGCCAATTTCCCATGTGTTAAAATGCCACCGGGTTGGCCAGGGCCAATTTCCCATGTGTTAAACATGAAGTAATTGGGCACATAAGAAGCTACAGCTTCATGACAACATGCTAACAGGCAAGTGACATTTCTTGCCGTACACACCCTAGGACTTATTTCTCCTACTCAGTACAAAACTAGGGAGGCTGAACAGAAAATTAGCCAAAGAAATCTGGAAATCAACATTCAGATGTGAAAAAGGGCAGGATTTGGCTCACACTGCTGACCGAGGAGGGGATTTTCTCATTATCTACATCACACCTTGGGTCAACGGCTCAACAGTCTCAGGTCTTTGGTGTGAGTTACAACAAAGGTCATGAGCCCTGTGAATTAGTCTCACACTTATACTGCAATATGAAAATTCTCCTTTAGACCAGGGACCACCAGGACTGAGCTTGGAAGCTTCTAGTGTTTGTGTGAGAAGCTGCCACATCTGTCTGGGAGTTGTGGTAACTTCTGGGCTGATGCAGAGCAAGCCTTCTATGCCAATGGTGCAGCAATGGTAGTGCAGTAGTCCCCGGGAACGTTTGTGGAAGATGCAGACTCTCCTTTTCCAGCCCAATAAAACTTTGAACCCTTGAATCACAATCTTTCGCAGTTCAAAACATGCAAACCCTAGTCTTCCCAGACTGTGGCTTACGCAGAACAAATCTCTTCCCAGACTATGGCAGGATATGGTTGGTGCTCCAGAGCCAGAGGCAGTGGAGCCATCAGCATCAGGGCAGCTTCGAATCCACATCACTCTGAGGCCATTAGAACCTCATGAGGTTTTTTCAGTGAGAACTCTGCTGCACTGCACGGCTGTATCAGCTTGGGAGTGTCTGAGCTCACTGTTTTACATGCCCTGTTATTGTAGGCAATATTTACAAGGAGGCACCTGGTGCTAACTGAGGCATGAAGGACCATCCTCCATCTTTACATAATTTCTAATCCCAGTGGGACTTGATGCTCTGCAGAGGAAAGAAGTGAACAGCTTCCGTTCCCTCCTCTTTCCTGGCTAAGTAAATTATTCCTGTTTGGCTATTTATTTCAATTTCTGAGTCAATCTTTTTCTGGAACCCAAATCAGACCTTTTGGGTAAATGAAACAAGGGCTGGGTGGAAAGACAAAGGAGTAAATACAACCGCTCACCAGGTTCTCAGCTCAGCTCTGACTTAAGCTCTCAGGAGCCAACTCCTTCAAAGTTAGTTGATATTTTAGTCTTGTTTTCTGCCAAATCAGAGCAGTCTGACAGGCAGGAGAGCCACCCAAACTGCACACCAGACTTCCTGCTCTTCACCTCCCCACCTTCATCTCACAGAGGAGCTGTTGGCTAATACCACCACAGGGACTGGGGGATCATCTTGCCCAACGTCAGACAGCTACGGCAGAGATATATACACTGAGCCAGTCCTGTTGGTTTCCCTCCATAGCCCATGAAAGGAAATAAGCCCTTTAAGAGTGTGACTCATCTGACCCACTTTAGACGCTACTGCAGGATGCGATTAGGCATGGTGTGTGCTGGTGAGCAGCTTAGCTTTCCAGTGGCTATAGAGCAGCTCAGGTGACTACCTCTGATGGACAGACCTCCACAGCAAATGTTTACATTTACCCAGGTTCATCCCGCGGCAGCAGACTTACTTGGAGCCGGACTGAGTCTGTCCATAAACCATGTCCTGTTTGCAGCTCATCACGGGCTGGGCATAGACCACATCAGGCTTGTTGCTCGAGGGGCAGGAGAGGGCCCGTGCTGGCATTTTTTTACTTGTCCTGGAAGTTCCTTGCTGGGTGCTGCAGCTGCTGTAGATGCTCTGGCGGTTCAGGGTGGCCTTGTGCTCTGCCCGGCCCCCCACCTGACTCTTCCTCAGCGTGCCCCGGGGCGGTTCGCAGTAGAGGTCGGGCTCGCTCCGGCTGCTCTTGATGTTCTGCACGAAGCAGTAGTCGCTGCCAGCCCTGGTGGGGCTGCAGACAGCCTTGCTGTAGTGCTTGCTGCCCCAGCCCTCCATCTGGCTGTACGAGCTGTAGCGACGGTTCTCCATGTCCCGCTTCAGGGTCCCATTGTACATCTGGTCAACGAGAAAACACGGGACAGAAAAATTAGGGAAGGCTTGAGCTGCAGATTGACATTGCCAAGCCCACTCTTGTGTGGGTGCCACAGCTACCAAGTGCCTCTTGGGTATTTTTGTGGTCCAAAATTGACAGGACATTAGCCCATCTGCAGCCCTTACAAAGGTGCCAAAGCTTCCCTTGAAATCTGGGGACACCTAATGATAAGGATGTGGCATCCAGGAGTGTAAAAGCAGAACTGAAAACTCAAACATGACCCTGACATAGATAATGCCTTATTTCCAACACATGGGTCTAACCCAACCTGTAATTAGAGGAGCTCACATCACATCTCTTGCCATCACATAGAATGATGCCCCATTCTGACCTTCCAGCACTGCCTGCATTTATTTTTAATTTCCTTATGCTATTTCGGTCCCCTTCCATCTATAAGTTCCTTAGGAAGCAAGTAAATGGAGTGAAAAATCAGTAAGAAGGGATTCTTGAACCTCACTATGCCAAGAAACAAGTGGAGACAATGAATATCTGCTTATGAGTTACAAGGTGTGTAGTATCAGCTCATGTAATGGGGTGTTCTGAGAACAATGGGGGATATGCAGTAAGAATTGAGATGACTAAGCCAGGAAGAAAAAAAAAAGAGAATAAAAGACAGTAAAAAACCCAACTGCAATTAATCACATGAAAAAAAGGCTTTAGCTGGCCCACTGTCAGTTCAAAGTGTCCTCACCCCTTCACCAAAAATCCTCCAGATTTGCCCCAAGTGCACCAGGACTGAATCCAATATTCTTTTGCAATATTAAACCTTCTGGATGTCAGTGCTGGCACCTGGAAGCCTGCAGGGTTGTACCCAAGTGAGGGACGAGTCACTAAGCTGTGTAGTCCAGAAAGGAAAATAAATAAAGCTGGTTTAGTGCTGTTTGCCCCATGATACTGAGTTTTTCCACTGCATCCACCTCAGCACATTGGCAAGCAGATGTTCAGGACATACAGCAAACAGGCATAAAAAGAATGAAAGAATAAAACTGCCGTCTCCTTCCCCCTTTAGTTTATCTTGGGAAAGCTCATCCACAGTCTGTTGTTGGACCAAGGATTTTTTTCTCCCCTAACTCTAAGCCTCTTTGCTTCAGATGCCTCTGTCTGCAAAAGCCACTCAAGGTTCCCTTGGGCTGGATGGCAAAAGTCAAAACTGTCACCTTATTATTTCCATGGAGGTTCAAGGCACAATGTATGAAAAGCCTGTGCCTGGTGCAATAGTTCATGTTGCTGAAAGAAAAATTCTGTATTTCCTAACCTAGAAACACCACGTGACAGGGAAATTGGTATCCTCTGCAGGCTCACCCCGAGTCCCGCTGCTCTGCCCCGACTGCATCCCAGCCCTGAGCACACTCAGCATCATTCCTGTCTCCAACACTCTGCAGAATTGTCATTATGTTAATTAATTAAGTCAAATATTTCCATTAACAAACTGATCTTCAGGAATGCAGTGAATCCTCCCTGTTGCACAGGTAACGGTTGAAAACTTTTAATAGGGGTTACGCAGCAGGAATGCCATCCGGATAGGAAAAGACCCTTTAGTCCAGCTGTGCTGATACCCAGATGGCTCTGGCATTTGAGTCCCACTCTGGAGTAGTTTTCATGCTTTCTGCAAGTTTGTGTCTAAACAGGTGAATTGCTGGAAGGGGAGAAAAGGGGAGCAAATTCTCTTTGCGTTTACTCCAGAGGACACAGAAAAAACCTGTTAGTACTGCAGCACAGCGGGCAACAGGTTTGGTGCATGCTGCAGAGCTCCCAGGGCTTTGGAAGAAAAATTTGCATGTGATAAGAAGAGCAAGGATGTGGCACATGGGTAAGTCAGATGAGACTTGGGGTCTCCTCTGGCAAGCCCACGGAGCTTCCCAGGATGGTCTTGCACAGGCGTTCTCTCCCTCCAGGTTTTGCTTTGGATGCAGCACGCACACAGCAATGACAAAGTGACCTTTCATGGAATCATTTTTGTTGGAAGGGACCTTTCAGATCATCCAGTCCAACCATCAATCCAGCACCGCCCAAACCACCACTGACCCATGTCCCTCAGCACCACGTCTGCCCGGCTTTTAAATACCTCCAGGGATGGTGACAACACCACTTCCCTTGGCAGCCTGTTCCAATTTTTCCTAACCATTCTTGTGAAGACAGTTTTCCCAATATCCATCCTCACCCTCTCCTGGTGCAACTTGAGGCCACTTCTTCCTGTCCTATCGCTTGTTATTTGGGAGAAGAGACCGACCCCTCCTCACTACACCCTCAGAAGTCATGAAGTCATGATCTATCCCACTTTGGATGAGTATGTCCTTTTAAGACTGACACCATCCTCATTTTTTCTTCATTTTCTTGTGTTCAGAAACACTCGGGACAGTGAGGAACAGGACAGGGCTGTGGCAGGAGGTGCAGGGTGGACTTTCCTGGTCTGTGGTTCCCCTGCTCCCAGGGCTCACTGCTGGCAGTGGCCACTGGAGGACAGAGCAGCAGCTTGTTAGATGTGAGCCCTGTCGTTATTCTTTATGAGTCAGTATAAACCTGGATTATTTTGTAGGGCTGTCAGAATCTTGGCAGAGCCATGGAGCCCCTGGGCATTTGCTGAAACCAATTCAGCTAACCATGGAAGAGGTAACTTGTTATTTATCTAAAGCCATTGTTTGCTCTCCAGTGTACTCGCACGGGCTCTTTGCCAGCGGAACGGGCAAGAGAAGGTGTGAGTGTGTCTGTGTTTAGAGATACGGAATTATCAATTCTTCATTTCCTGCTGTGTTTTATAGTGGCATCGAGCATTGCCCTCTTTCTTGCCAAGCCCGGAGATGGGTGAAGCAAAGCGACCGCCTGTTTGGAAAGACACCTTTCTGCAACACAGGGAGCCCTGGGCGGCAAGTCGGTGCAGGCCCTGGCAGGGCGGGGAAGCCTTTTGCAAACTCATGGGAAAATAGTTCCCGTGTGATGTGAAGCTCATTACCAAAGTCAGTGCATGACTTTTATTGCTGATTCTACCAGATGCTTGGCTGAGCCCATTTTAATCTCTTTCAAGTGGCACGGACCTAATTGGTATCTTAGAATTCCTCTTTGCAGCAGGAGCCTGATCCAAAGCCTCCAAATCGATGAGGAGTCTCCTGCCAGCTTCAGCGGATTTCAGACCTGCTCGCCAAACAGTCTCTACAAACCCTTGCACAGACGTAGCTGACCTGATCGCTCCTTCATCTCAGCAAAGTGCCTCCCCAAAATAAAACCCATGTCCCCGTTTCAGACGTTCACCAAGCTAAGGCAGAAGCCTCCACTTCTAACACTGGAGCAAACCTGGCCAAGGGAACGGGGTTCCCCACGTCGTTATCTCTTCGCTGGGTGCAGCGATCAGTGAGATAGGAGGCACAGCAAGGCAGAAGTGAGGCACTCTGCCGTCTGGAGAAGAGATGACATCTCTGAAGGTGAAGGTGATGCTATTACATTGTCTGTGGTTTAAAGAGCCACCCGACAACAATCTCGTAACTTTTGCTGATGCCATTACATGTGTAGAGTGAGCTCTCCCTATGCAGAATAGCATTAGTGAAAGGAAATAATCAATCTCTCGCCTTCAAACCTCATAAACCGCCCAGATTTCCTAACACCCTGAATTGCATCGGCCCACGGCTTGTAGGCGTTTGCATGGGGGAGGTGGGCCAGGTCCACACCTCCTCTCCTTAGGAGTGCAGAGAAATGCTGGAAAGGACAAGTTCCTAAAGGGTGAGTTGAAGGATGATGGAGCTGGACTCTTTTCAGTGGTTTCCAGCAATAGGACGAGGGGCAATGGGTGCAAGCTGGAACATGGGAAGTTCCACTCAAAAATGAGGAAGAACTTCTTTACAGTGAGGGTGACAGGCTGCCCAGGGAGGTTGTGGAGTCCCCTTCTCTGGAGACTTTCAAGACCCACCTGGATGTTCCTGAGTGATGTGCTCTGGGCAGCCCTGCTTTGGCAGGGAGTTGGACTGGATGGTCTCTAGAGGTCCCTTCCAACTCTGTCGAATCTGTGTGAATCTGTGACAAAGCAGTCCCTCAAAGCAGGGTGGAGACAGAAAGCAGTGATTCCCTCTGCACTGCAAGACCTGGAAACCATTTTAGAAGAGTACAGGCTGCCACCAAGACTTCTCCACATGGAGCCTGAGAAGTCGGGGCAGTTTGGTAGGTCTCTCCTTTCTGCCAGACACCATCACCCACTGGTAGTCCCCTGTGCTCAGAGGATGCAGGAGGATGTCCACGTGCAGCTGGGCAATGCTGAGATCCTGAATTTTAGCCTGAACTTCTCCTCCCTACTGTGAAACGAGCCTGTACTTTTGAGGCCAAGCCTTGGGAGCCGTTCATTCATATTAAAACAAGGAGGGTAGGCACGGGGAGGAAAGGCAGAAGATGAGCACTGATAGCACGCAGATGCTCTTATCAGGCCCAAGGAGTAAGAGCTTTCCTTCACTGGCAGCAGCAAAGACCTGCCTTTAACATAATAAGCATTTGTGGGTCACCAGTTCTCGGCCTGCAATGTGGGACCATTTTAGGAACATCAATTGGAATATTCAACCGCCGCACAAGACAGGAAAAAAAGTATCTTTGACCTGTAATTTCAACTGGAATAAAACTGGTGCTAGAGAGAAAGTCAAAATGGCATTCAGGAGCCCTTTTCTATTTCCTCCTTAAACCCTCTTGTGTAGCAGGGAAAGTCCCTCTCCTGCTCCCACTTTCCAGAGCAGCAGGAGCACAGAGCAAGGAGCACCAACCCCGGGAATCGCGCTCCGATCTCGGTGCTGCCTCTCCACATCGGAGGCCCTCCCAGATAACTGGGTGTTTCTGACTCCTGCATCTAAGGACGCGATCAGTTCATTACCGGGCTCTCATTTTTTCCCTTGCAATTTGTTTGTTTCTAGAGCAGCAGACAGAGAGAAGTAAAGGGCTCCGTATAAACACGTCAGGAGCAGGTTTCTCCCAGGCTGGAGGGCAAAGCACAGGC